AGGTCCTAGAAAATAGGGGTTATATTTATTATAGATTAGATTTGAGGAATAGGATTTGGATTAAATGCAACTACACTGATATAAAAGGAACTGTAGTGTCCATTTCTCCCCAGAAGAGGGACTTGATTGTGCTAAAAGAAGTGCAAAGTATCTGTTTATTTGTATTTTGTACTGTACCTCAGCCACCTCGTCTTTGCCCCAGAAGCAGGCGTAGTGGAGTGGCGTGTTCCCATGCTCGTTGACTGTATTGGGGTCGGCTTTGCACTGAATCAGCTGGCATTAAACATGTCATAAAGTAAGTCAAATTAAACCTCCCAGGCAGTGTAAACAGGGCATAAATAGTCCAGCTGTAACCAAAGTATGTTTACCTTTGCCACAATATCTTTATGTCCATGACTGGAAGCGAGGTGCAACGGGGTATCGTCTCCTCGGTTCATCACATTAATACGAGCGCCTCTCATGATGAGCATGTCAACAACTCCGCTCCTCCCTTCCCTGCACGCCCAGTGGAGGGGACTGAAGCCATGATCATCACTAAAACACAAGGCACAGGAGGATAGTTAATATTTGCCAAGTGATAAACTTGGTTTGACACACTTAATTTGAATATTTCTTTAAGATGAATTATTTGGAGGTTAGTTGTCCCCAAAAACATGCATACTGTAGGAGGCTGTTATCTTAATAACTGGGTTCAGGTTCTCACACCGACTACCTTCCAATCTTTATTTAGACTTAAGCACATGCTTTCCCGTGCCGCCTGCAGCGTTTACGCATATGAGGCCTGGCCCTGTGATAAATATGTCTGGCGGACCTGGAATGCCTGCTAACATACGCAAAAATGCCAACACGAAGACAGCGTACATGGCACTGCTGCAGTCTACAGGGAGCCGGGCTGTCACCTATGTGTGACCGGCCCCTTCACCCGAGTGACTCCTTTACATTGGCTGACCCCGAGGCAGCTGCTGGGGCTCCTCGCAGCTTCCTGCAAAGCCAAAAACACTACACTCTGTTTGACAATAAACCTCAACAGGGCTTGTATAGCCTGTAGGAAATGGCTGCAGTACTAGCTCACACTGAAGTGAAGTAGCAGTTAGTCACATTCTCTGCCAATTCTGATCCAGCACTGTGGACAGACAGCTCATAGTCTGACTAACCCTGTGTGCTATAATAAGTAACGGTAAAAAAACTCAGGAATGACAGAGCGGAAAATACACAGAGGAATCTTCAGCTACATTCTCTGTGAGCCTCCCTCTCTTTTTGTTCCCGGTGTCTTCAGGAGGGGCATTTAATGTTTGTCTTGGTGGACTCACTCACATAATTGGGTATTTTCCCACCAACATATGACACTTATTACACATTATTGGATATTCTGAAGGGGAAAAAAGGACTGTTTCACACAAACCATTGAGCCTCTTCAGATTTACAGCTAAAGCCGGCCTCCAGCATAATGACTGGTCTCTCAGATGTTTATGTGGGATTGCAGCTAGCTGCCGGAGATGCTCTGTCAGCGAGGGCCTGGCCCTGTATGGAGTTGAACAGAGGAAATGGCCTTGGCTGTTGCGTGGTTGGCTAGCAGCTCTGCAGCACTCAAAGTCAACGTCAACAAGCTGCACATATATGGCCTGGCCCAAGAATGAGATAACCGAGGTCTTTAGCAGTGAGGTCTTGTGGCTCAAGGAAATTATGTAAACAGGCAGAAGTGGTGTGTATATCCTATAATATCTAATAGGGCTTTAACTTGGGACCATTGTAAATTTGTCTAACACTTACATTTAATAATATTTATTTTTAACATGTCACTAATGTAATATAAAAGTCCATCATTGTTCCGAGACAATAGGGTGACATCTTCAAAGTGGTTGTTTAGTCTGAACAACAGTATAAAAACTCCACATATTCTATTTAAAATGGTTATGTGATTATCAGATTTACTAGTGATACATTTTCTGTTTTAACTCAGAAATTCCAGCTTAAGTCTGTGATACTTTTTCAGTCTGGTGTAGGATGAGTGTAGGTCATTTAACCCACAACCTCAACGGATTGCCCACTTCTTTTTATACACACACAGTTTTGAGGGATGACATCATAAGGAGACATTTCCAAGGAAAAAAGTGGACTAGAATTACCAAAGCTGGATGACGTTCAGCAGAGTGTGGAGTTGCAGGGAGAGCACAATATGGAAAGTATTTGACTACCTCTAATGTGCCAAGGATTGCTCTGTACAGTATGCACGCACGCACACACTCCAGCACAGAATTACTCAGCCTCCCTACCAAATGAGGTGCGTTTGATACAACGTCAACTCCATTCATTGGAGGGCCGCACTCAATTTATCATTGCAGAGAAAGCTAGACTCTCAAATCTCAGAGAAGAACAAGGCATTCATCACCAAAGCTGTATGTATTTTTGTTGAATGGTGATGGTATATCTGCTTACCCCAAGTTGAGGTCATTCTCTGTGTTGTCCAACCACAGACGAACAGCAACAGAGTTCCCTTCTCGACACTGTGTGAAGATGTCATCCATGGTTATGCTGCGGGTCGCCTCTCTTGTCTGCTTGCTCTTTCAATCTCTTTTGAGATCAGGAACATGTAGCCTACAAAATATATTACACAAAGACTCCTTTTATAAATTTGTTTTGGTTAAGCTCCTGGAGGTCTGTACAAAAGATGTTGCCAGGTATTGCACATATTTCAGGACACTGATGTAGGTAAACAGACATCACTCATTGTCTTTTGAGCATAGGTTGACTTCTATTAGGTCCATTTCCATATGAATGTATGCATCAACCCCTGTGTGGCAATGTGTCAAAAGCAACATCTGTATTTATTAGTTTGTCTTTTGTTTTATTAGTGTAAGGCTAAACATGAATTGTAATAGCTGACCAATCTTTAAGTCACTTATTGTTAAATGCAACATAAACACTATCTGATGCACAGAGAAACATAAACATCCAACCAGATGTGAAATTATAAAGTCAAATCCTGAAATAGCTGCACATTCCTACATTTCCCCTTTGCTCTATCCTCCTCCGTGGAAATCGTATGGGCTGGCCTTTGGGATCACTTTTGAAATCTATTGTTAAAAAGTCAAAAGTGAAGTTGGACATCCACAACACAACTTCCTCACACACAATGGAAACAAAACGCATACGTTAACTTAGTTAAAACTCTTACCAGCTGCGAATCGATCGATTTCTTGTCAGTTTCTTTTATTTTTCCGAAAGTCGGTCGTCTCCTCAAATTTAAGAGCAGAGAATAGTTTGTCTGAGTCCACTCCAGTCCACGCCCCGCTCCTCGGAGTATATGCGGCTACTGGTGAGGAGTCAGCCCTGCTACTGGCAGCCTGTCCCAGGACAGCGACCCAGCATCGCCCCCTGCTGGAGGCTATGCGCTGATGCTGCATAACAACACGAGGGCGAACATACCTAGGGATGTTCAAATTCAATTTCAAAGGTTTTATTGTCATATGCACATAAGCTACAGTGTAGAAACGGCAATTACATTCTTCTGACCTGAGCTCCTCCAACAATGCAACATAAAATAAAAAATAAGTCTATATACATGTAAATAGAATATGATATAAGAACAGAATATTAAATTAAAGGAAGTAGACCCGCTTTAGGACATGTAGGCCTATTAAGCATTCATTTATTCTTTCATTTTTTCATTTCATACATGAATAACATATTTTCCAAATGCCTGAATATGAAAAACAAACCTCTTGAAGACACACATACAATCCACAGGTATTATTATTGATTGAATATTCGTTTCCTCACAGTTGGGAGAAGTACTCAGATCTTGTACTTGAGTAAAAGTACCAGAGTGTCGGAATACTCTGTTACAAGTAAAAGTCCTGCATTCAAAACGTTACTCGAGTAAAAAAGTGTTAGCATTAAAATATACTTAGACTACCAAAAGTACTTATTATGCACACGTAATAACTTTGATCCTGCAGGTTGGCTTGTGACTCCAGGTGTAACTAAAGTCTTATTTCAGTGTTGATTATATTTCACATTATGAATCCAAATCTGAAAAGTAACTAAAGGTATTAAATAAATGTAGTGGAGTAAAAGTACACGATTGACCTCTGAGGTGTAGAAGTACAATATAGCATAAAATGGAAATACTCAAGTAAAGTACAAGTATCTCAAAAGTGTACTTAAGTACAGTACTTGAGTAAATGTACTTAAACTCCGCAGTTTACCAATCATTTGAGATAGAGCCAATACTAGACAATGTATTTATGTTTATATTTTGTTTAAACGTTAGCATTTGATTCTTATTTTTTATTTATTTATTATGTTATTTCTATTTATAGCAGAAGTACTATTCACAGTAGTTAAATGCTGGTCTTACTAATAATTTACAACAGATAACAACAGAAAAAAACGTTGCTGCGAAATAACACTGCTTCTTTTTGTTGCTGTAATAATGTAGATTTCCCATATGTCCCTGCTTTGGAAGGATAACTGGTTCTCGTGATTTCTTACACATGCGTCAGTGCTCTCTTGTGGCTATCACGTAATGTTGAGCCTGTGTCTAATTTACTGTAAACATTTCCTAGGTTTCTTGCAACTTGTTGGCCAACATATATACTGATACTATCAATCTGTCATAAGAAAATATCCGACATGACTGACATATTGGTCTGCCTTGATGTTTTTCAGTAGTGATTTTAATAAGATTTACAGAAGCTATTCTGAACTGTCACAGCAGGAATGAGAGGAGTGTAAATCATGTAACGAATTATTTCATCTGAATGCTATGTAGCCGCTTTAGTCTCAGAGTGCTGGTTTGTGCATGCTGGCTCGCTGTTACACTTGTCAGGACTTATCGTCACACTTGAATAGAACAGCGCAAAGTTAAATGTTACTTAAAACATGTACTATGACAAGTCAGGCTATCTTCTATAATAAAGGCCTGTTGCATGGAGACTGACAGGAAGTGGATTTTTGAGGCCAATACCAAAGCTTGAGAGTAGAAAATCACAACAATATATCACCTGACATTTTTTATTACATTAACAAAGGAAAAAATACAATGAGCCAAACTTATTAGGACATGTTTATAGGTTGTACATAAGTTATGTCTGCCTATTGTTGCAATAGCAAGATGTTAATAACAATTTGTTTTAATATTTTGGACTATTGCATGACCACATTCTCCAACCTGGAAAATAAGTTTTAATGAACCCCTTTCATATCTTTATCATTTATTCTAGCATCCTTTAACATCCTAGCTGACAGTTATACTGAAGAACTTCACTACCTTGTGGTTTTGGTAAGATGCTAATGGGAATGGTGTTTAAGATTGCTTATCATGGCTTTGCTGCTGGATTATAGACAGTAGCGTGTTTGGTGCAAATACAGGAAATGATGGGAGGAGAAGGTGATGAAGGTCATAAACTGAATTTACACCCACAACAGTGAAAGTGAGTGGAATACGCCCAAACCACTGCTGAGTTTGAGCATCCTGCAGCATGAGGGCATTTAATTTTGTCAAACAACAAATGAAAAAGGTTGTCAAAAGAAAATGTAACATCAAGAAAAACTGAATGAATTTTTTATTGTTAAATCTTATTTCTGCATTTACTGTAACCTTTCAAAACAAATTATCATGACTGAATATGATTCACTTAAAGTCCAGAAATAAGCCAAAACATAAATCAGGCCTCTATCCCCTTCCAGGCTGATGAATGATCCTAGTGGAGTTTAAATGGCAAAAACTGCCATTACTAAAACATTTGTTTAACTGTCTTGCACACACCTACACTCATATACACTGCTGCTACAACAACCTCCTTTCTTTCTTTACCATAAAAGCACATACACCAAGGATTTATAATATCTGCATATTTGTATATATTTAAATAATCATGAGGGACATGCTTGAACATGTTTTTCTCTCCATAGGGGTTTACATTTGTCTCCTGGTAAATTGCAGGGCAGTTGATCTAACAATGTTTTTTTTAAGTTTAAATTAAAAAAAATCTAAACATAACGACGCCTGCTCAATTTGTGTGAGGTCTTTAAGCTGCTAATGTTGTCAAGCAAAAGCAAAATACTTTTAATTTACAGAATGAAAAAAGAAAAGCATGACTGTAGCCAGACAATGTTATATGCCATCATGATATAATGTATAACCATTTCTGATTTAGTTAATAATTTATGTTGAACTATTAATAAACTATTCTTTTCAGCAATATGGGGAATATCACATGTACTGCCAGTGAGAGTTACTCATCATGGTAGTCATGTTGCTAACAGTGAGACCTGATTCAGACCCAGATTGACCATCATTAAGGGTCCGAAGGTGGGGGAACCACTGGGGGTCTCTCTTGGCCTGACAGGCTTTCAATAGATTTAGAGACTGTAGGAGCAGCTACTGTTGGTATGGGAACATCTTCTGATAAGGATATTGGTTTAGATGGCATAAACACAGGCGCTGAGATCTCAGACTCAAAGTGGGGACCAGCTATTGGTGGCGGGGGAAAGCTTGCTATGTAAGACGGTCCATTGCCAGCTTCATTGGGCGCTGGTAGACTCACTGTCTCAATCAGAGGTGTGAATGGTGAGGCAGCTGATAATCTGACATCTGTTGAAGTTGTAGATTTGGGAAAAGCAGTGTCAAAGTCATTTTGGATATCCAATCCTGCTGGCTTTAAGAGTGAGCTTTGGGCCTCGGTTCCGACATCATCGATCGTCATTGAGGTAAAAGGTTGATCCAACATTGAGGCTACTTCTGGGGGTGGAGATAAGGTGATGGGTGTTTGAGATGCTGCAGAAGCCTCTGTGACAGCTGGCTCAACATTTGCAGAAGCAGCGGCCTCTGCAGCCTTGGCACTTTCTGCCGCCTTGCTCTCCATCTCATCCACCCGACGCTGCATCATCTTAGGCATCAGCTGCACATAGGAGCCCATCAGACGGTGGTTGGAGCGAATCAGCTTCCCCGCACAGCTGTCCACACATTGCTCCTGGAAAGACAACAGCAATAAGAGGTGATGAATGGAAAACAACAGAAAGCCATTTGTAACAAAACTAAAACGGTTTGAAAAGTGCTGTTGATACAATATTAATCTAAAGAATGCGGAACGGGGGAGTAAAACATACTTTTTTCAATCCATGTGAATATTAAATCAGGATCAGAATCAGAATACCTTTTTGCATTTGTTACAGCAAGAAAAGAGCCAAAGACAGCCATATTAACCAAAAAAACTAAAGTAAAGAATTTGAGACAACAGGATGCTAACACCTTTATAGCAGCGGTTTGGTTGAGACCCTTTTCAATATGACTATGACTCTGATGTCAAGTCAATGACCTTCACAGAGACCTGACCTGAAACTCATACAAGTCTTAGTTAGGGATGAATTAAAAAAGGATGACTTCTAGACAGATCATAAAGCCTATCATGTGATGATACGTCCCCTTAACTGCTGCTCTTTTGGCTTAATGTAGAGATCCTGAAGAATTAGTCTGTTTTTACAGCAGCTTACGAATGCTCATGCTTTTCTTCATAATTACCAGACATACAGTTGCGTTGTATGGGTGTAATGTACAGGTATTCAGGCTACGTACTTTAAGCCACGTTTAGTAAGGTTATATACAGAAACATATCAGTTAAATTAAATGCAATGGGTGAATGTATCTCACCTCGTCCATCGTCAGGCTTCTGTAGTTGAAGTTGCTGCTGCATCTCTGGAAACAGACTTCAGTCATGCGGTTGTAAACCAAAAGGAAGTCCCTCAGCTGCAAGAAACACAACCAACCCAAATTACCATCAAAACCGTTCACTTTGTGTAGCTGACATTGCATATACATGTTAATTACATTTCTTAGTTGATTTTCAGGCTCCATCGTGATCACGTCTTAAGTTGACTGCTGGTTAGCTAAAAATGCTAACATCCAGAGCTGGTCCGTTAATGAATCAACAAGGTTATTATGGTTTTCTCCAAGCCTTAGGTCTCTCCGGTGAATATATCACAATTCCGCAAGATGTCAGCACCAACGGATCACTTATCGTAGCTAAACATGAACAGATTCAGGGAATATATTAAGATGGCATGACATTCACATGCGAGCTGCCATGTTTGAAAAAAGGATCGTCTCCGCCCTGAATGACGCTTCACTCTGTTCCATTTCCGGTCGTTTGAAAGCACGAGGAAAACAAGTCATGCTATTTTGATTAGTTACAGTTTTCGAAGTTTGTACTCAAACAGCCAGACAAACAAACATAGTAACTTGCACCTAATTGTAAGATATTAATTTATTTGTTCTTTTTCTTAATTGTCTTTATAGTAAGAAGCCCAAATGTTTGTTTAATTCCTATTAAAAAATTAGAGAATTGTTACAAGTATCACCCTTTTACAAAACTAGCACACCGGCAATTAAAGGTGGGGTAGGTCATTTTGGAGAAACCAGCTCGAGTGCGCTTGAATTTGAAAATATGCAACTGGAAAAAATCTGCCCCTTCCTTCAGACTTCCTTACAGAGCCCCTCCTCCAACACACACGAACGCGCACATGACCAATGAGGGCACGAGATAAGTTTGTGCACAGATGGAAGGCTGACAGGCAGGTAGGTCATCCAGTTATTTTAGCCGGGCCGGCTAAAATGATTGGTCGTGCTTTTTACAGCGCTACGGCTTCCACAAATGAAATTTTTGTATGTATTTATTGTCAAAGCATTTAATATATTCATTGCTATCGGGATGTTAAGAGCATTCCATGGAATATAACAAAAAGTGTTTCTGAAATAAATTACATACCCCACCTTTAAGTTCCATTAGCATCATGACATCCACGCCTTCTGAGGGGTGCCTTCTCTGTCAAATGTTTAATTATCAGTAATTGAAATTATTGGACCGTAAAAGTTCAACAAACTAATTGAAGCTAACCATTGAAACATTGTTTTTATTGAATTTAACAGCATGGCAGCTACTTGTTGCTGTATACTGTCGTCACAGTCACAAAGCTAAAGAGCTAACCAAACGTCTTCCTGGTGAATGAGCCATGAATGCAACCTGAACAGGTAAGTGATCAATATCCCAAAATACAAGGCCTACTGAAATGTAAGATGTTTTTCTTCAAAGTACTGGTTTTAAAAATGCACTTCATGGGTTTGAATGTAATAAGTCTTAATTTATAAGCATATGTTATTTATTTACACTTAAAACAATTGATTTTCTTCCCATGCTACTCTTTGCAAATGTGAGCATCATAATAGGCTATAATCTGCCTCATATAGGCAGAAGCAGGGGCGGATCTAGAAAAATATTCATGGGGTGGCAAGAGGGTGACAGGAGAATTTGAGGGGTGGCATCCCCTGGCAGAAGTATATGCTGATTTAATCGCAGTCATATCAATCAATGTTAACTTGGAAAGCCACAATATTTATATTTTAACTGAATAACTCTAGGTGACATTATTGTGGCACATCAGTAAAGCCTTAAATATAAATATATAAGGTGGCAGACGTAATTTAATGAATTTTAACTGAACAATAACTGAATGAGTTTGTCTCACTCTTAGACCAGCAGGGGTACCACATCTATGCAGACTGCTGCAATAAGTACATTAATTAACTGTCTTGTCGATGTTTGTCTGAATTAATATGATACTATTAACAATCATATTATTCCTATCAGCTGTCAATCACTGTTATGATTCACATATTCAGTGTTATTATTAAATAAACTATATTTTTTGGAGGAGTTAATGATGAATGTTCCTCAAGATGCTTGCTCACCCTCCTTCAAATTTGAAAGACAAGTAATTACTATCATATATCAAAAGAATCAAAAGAACAGTTCAGCGCCCCACAACTTCATTGCAAACAGTTACAACCTTGACTTTACATCAGAAAGAACAAACATTAAAGAAGTGACTAACTGCATCAGTCAGGGTTAAAAAAACCTGTATTCAGCTAAAACATATACATCGTTATCCAGTGGAAAGTCTTTACCTACTGGCCTAGTTATATCAAAGTGGTTACTTTTTTTTGGCTGGGAAGTGTAGTTTTACACACCGTCTTATTTGACTTTCTCTGACTTGAAACTGTTACAGTTATGTCTCATGTCAGCCATGGGACTTTTATCACATGTCACCCACCCCCCTCATTTCCTGTCATTTGTTTTCTGTGCATTAAGAGAATGCTATATAGAGACTGATGCAATAATGTAAAAGGATTCTTGGCGACTGTTTAAATTAGACTATAGTCCTTGTGTTTCAAAATGTAGCTGATATTAATTTACTCATGATAAAACTCTTAATTAAAACTTTATTGAAACAAAAGTAAAGTGCTAGTCTCTACGGAAGCATAAGTCAAGTATTTGAGGCACTTTTAGGCAGATATGAATAATGCTTTGCTATTTCACTTTTTATGCTGCTTTGTCAGCAATAGTTAAGCCAAAAATGAATCTATAGAGGTGTAGGAGGCCGTGGTGAGTTATTGAAAAGCTGTCATCGAACAGTTAGTATACTGCGGACCTCTGACTGCTGAGTTCACTTCAGAGCTCAGCTCCCTCAGCAGGAAGCAGTGCAGTAAATTATCCTTCCCAAGAGAGGGAAATAATCATTTAAGCAGATGGCTCTTGAGTGCAATCAATTCTAAAAGTAATGACCATAATGGTAACTTTGATGTGGAAAATCTTCTGTGGGTGACATTTCCTACAATATGCCCACAGGGAAAATAAAATAACATTATTAATATCTCACTTATAGCTTTCCGCATTTTACTTTCCAACCTTTAATCAAATCTTCATGTTAATTTGTATCATTCATGGTAATATAACTGAAAAGCAGATTCACGTGTGCATAGGCAAGTATATTGTTATATCGCCTACAGCGTGGAAAACAAATAGATTGTTTTTCCTTCACACCTTTTTATGAGACATCTGCTATGAGACATCAAAACAGTGAAAGATCTTCCATGTCCTGTGATGATGTGATGTCTTCCTTGTCTTTCAAAACATACATTTCCACTGGGTCCTTGACCTCTAAATGTCACACACCGAGTTTCATTTCTTTCTTTATTCTCAGTTTTGTACCTCCGCAGCACAGAGATGTACACCTTTTGTTCCTCTGTTGCTCAATCTGGAGAGTTCAAATGTATTTACATCAAAGAGGAAATTGCGCAAAAAGCTCGTTAAATATTGAAGCTAACATAGTTTTCATTCTTTCAGACACAACAGTTAGCTTTTCTTAGGTAGCTCAAACACTTGAATCTTAATCTTGATGCTCACTATCATGGCTAAAGCTGCTGTTCTGAATAGCCTCTACTTCTGAAAGCTGTGTGCATACAACCCCATTAGCATCATGTCTATCTTTTCTTCCCTCAAACTCTTGCTCTCCTTTCCACTCTCTACTTTGCCCCTTTCTTATCCCCCCCCAACCCACGATCTCCCTCTCCATGTTTACACCCCTGTCCCTCTCCAGCTCCTCTGTCTCCTGGGCTATCTGTTGACTGTTCAGGTAGATGCTGCTGTGTGAAACCATGGTGCTGGTGTTTCTGGAGGGAAGGTGAGCATCCATGTCTGCTTCCACCTCTAAGAAAGTATTCAGGGGGGGTGTGAGGTGGCCCGGCAGCTCCTCTTGAAGTTTGCTTCTTCTCTGAGCGGGGCCTTGCTGATGGCGATTCTTCTTCATGCGTTTCTTTACCAACTTAAGATCCAATGAGGCATAATTCAGGTCAGGCGCTATGGACTGGTTTCAGACAGTAGAGAAAACATGGGTTAGTAAAATGCTGTTTGCGTAGATAACCAAAAAAAGCATCAGCAGTAAACACCGGTGTGATCTTCTAGGTCTTGTGGTTGTTAACTCTCATGTATTTCTGTAAGCCTAGTTTATTTTTAGAACACTATGTGCCTTATTATGTTCATTGGTTCACAGTAAAATTGACCACAACTTCAAAGTGTTTAGCTGCCTTCCGCTTTGAAAGCAAATCTGTCAGCATGGGTTTAAACAGGTCTGCATGTGTATTTTTAAATACAATGCTGTTCTATATGTATTTATAGTTGCACCAATAAAAATAAATACTAGAATACTATATTTGCGCATTTTAGACGCATTTATATTCATTGTAGAAGTACAACGAAAAGAGTAAAGCTACTCCTTTTTTAGGTGCCATCAAAACATTCAGAGTAGACAACATACAACAAAGACACGCATCATTCATACATAGATAAAATAATAACAAAATAATGCAGTAAAAGCGAATAAAGCGGTTTAGAATATTATTAGGCAACATTAGTAAATGTTACATTCACATGTTATCATGCGTATTGCAGATGCAAAGCTTAAGAGAGGTTTAAAGATGTCATTATCCTAGCATGAAATCCACACAATATCATATGTACGAGTGTGAATAACCCGTGCAAATGAATAACATCAACGGGGTTAAAACTGAATTTTGCACCTCAGCTCACAAAAGCACGTTAAAAATATTTCTTTTTTTTGCAGTTATTCTGTCACATTTTCAATTACCTTCATGCAATCTGTTGCGTGTTCCATGGTCATCATCTCATAGCAAACCTCGACAGAATCTGAACACATGAATTGGTCATTCGGCTTGTATACTTATGAGCACACATATGGAGTCACATTAAATAGAAAAGAGAAGGATCTAGATTTGATATACTGAATCAATTACAACATATTGGAAATCTAACTATTTTGAACTGTGGTTGAAAAGGAAGTAAACATTTTTGGATGCAATGACTTATACATCTATCTTAAGTTTGTTCTGCATGATATTGATCCAAATGAACTTTCAACTTGTTATGATACACACTGATAAAATCTTACATTAGATAACGTGGCATTTGCTAAAATATACTGCCTCCAAATACAGGAAAAGGAAATAGTCATAAAGGTGATTCTAACATAAATTAATTGTGTAATCAAACAAAGTATCACAGACAAAGATATATATTGTGTCATGCTTGTTATTCAGAGAACAATGTTATTATTTATAATGTTATGTTATTATTATATACAAAATTATCTCTGGCTTTGCTCTCACCTGCTCTGTCTGAGCTGATGTTGCCGTAGATTGGATTTTCCTGCAGCTCTTCGTGATTGTGTTCATGAAAATAATGCCCTTCATCCTGTGAGGGGCTTCAACAACATATCACAGGTTATTTCTATAATAAGAGGTCATTCGTAGATGTACAGCAAATAATGGATACCCCTTTTACATATTATTACTCATTGTATTGCACTTATAATGGGCTGACATGCACACAAGCCAAAGCCTACCTTGCTCCTGTATTCATATTTCTGAAGCAGCACTCGTCCGTTTCTGTTGGAACACAATATTTATACATTTATAAAGGCCCTGTTCTTTTAAAAGCAGAGAGAGGTTTACAGTTATGGTAAACGCATAAAAAAGTAACAAAGCAATTTAATAAACATTTTAAATGCAACCATACCTTTGCACAAAGTGGATCTTTGTCTGATGCAGAAGAAGACATTGAGACAAATAGAGATCAACAAGGCCAGAGATAACAGCGCCAGAGATACCGCTTCAATGACTGTAAAAGACAATAAAAACCACTATCAACATCTTAAACTGTGCTTTTTAAGTCAGTGTGCGAAACGAATGGTCTTTAATGTTATCTGCTAACAACTGTTTGGAATTTCCTTCAGTATGTCTCAATGATAAACAGAAAAGAAAAAACATTTGCGTCATTATTTGTGCTCAGAAGCAAAGATGTAATCAAATGCTTCACAGAAACTGGGAAATCCCATCCCTGACCTTTTAAGATGTAAAAACCATAGACACAAAGAAGCTATTGTTCATTTAAATGATATGACTTTAACTTTAAATGTGTCTACAGGGTGCTACTGCATATGAGACATTTGAAGACGGCTTTAAAAATATATCACACAAGCTAAATTGTTATTACCAATTTTAGGAAAACAATACTCTCAAATATGAGAAAAAAAAACATATTTTATTATTGTTAATAATATCTAATCTTTATATCATTATATTTATAGTAAAATAAATATGGCAGTTCACAAGCTTTAAAATGATTAAGTATGCTGCACATGGTTTGATCAATGTGCTTACTTTGACATTAACACAATGTAAAAAAGAAAGTTACGTGTGTATACTAAGAGTCAATAAACAGAGCATATAACCTAACTAGTAACTCCAAATTCTGTTACGCTTTAGAAAGGATTCAGCTTTTCCTGTGTTTGTGGTGAAAGTCGAAACACACTAAGGGATACAATATCAGCACATGTACAATGTAGGAATATTAGATACAAGTTTATAAATCTGAATCTTATAAAAAAAGATAGTTGTGATCGTACCTGCCATATTCCAGCCGTCTCAAACTAAACGGATTGTTTGTCTGAAGCGATGTACCTCAGTCTACGACGCATCACCGTGTTAAGAGAGTGAGGTGTGTCTATCGTCTATTTTTACTTTGCCTCAGTTACCTCTCTTTTGACTCAGTGCTTTGAAAACTGCTCTTCAGTTACAAACAGGAAGCAACGTAACCTCATTCTGAGGCACCCAGTCTCAATCCCATTGTGAGGTACATTAGGATCTCAAATAGATTGCCACATTAATGGTTTATAAATATCTGTTAAGACTTCAATACTTTGAATCTAATAGGAAAATGTCTGCACACAAACAAACGAGTAAAAGAAAAACAATGCACCTTTTTTAAAAGACAGACACATATGTACTTTACTTATGTTCTAATGTCATTGAATCTAATAAATAAATACAAAATACAAAAAACTCCCATCACTGAACTTAACACTAGTAATAATAGTAATAACGCTAAGTCTTGAGCTGTTAATAAACAGCTACACTTTTTAACTTTGTTCCGAGTTCACAAATAGTGTGCGCACTGTTCCATGAATAACAGGCACACATGTAGATTTGGTTTGGGTAGATACAAAAAAAGCGTATATGTAATAATTCTTGTTAATGTGCACGGGCCTTCAGTATTAAGAATGTAGCTACAGCTTGCATACGAAGCACATTGTGGTTTTGCTACTGTGGTCGGAAAATCTGAAAAAAAAGCAGGAATGAAAGCGTTCTCAGCACAGCTAAATGCACGTGTGTGTGTGTGTGTGTGTGTGTGTGTGTGTGTGTGTGTGTGTGTGTGTGTGTGTGTGTGTGTGTGTGTGTGTGTGTGTGAAATATTGTTTTACTGACCAACCCAATTTAGCAGGGTCCTCTTAGTTTGGCCTGAAAAGGAAAAACTAAATTTGAATGATTAAAGACATGATCAACACACAGGAATAAAACATGTTTTATTTAATCAGCAAACTCTCAGAAATATGAGAAGCTATATCACTTCCTTTGTGTGTATAATGCTAACCAGTGGTTGTTCTTCGTGATAGCCATTTAGCCCATGTGGTTTGTGGTTTAAGCCCCACTTTGTAAACTCAAGTGTCACACGTAGACAACAGGGTCTTGACTCTTTGATATTGTCAGTCAATCAGCAATGAAGAACATAGGAGGAAATCATTGGGCTACTGGGCAACAAACCCTCCATCCCACAGCAATCAGCTGATTGACATAACTCAATTGAACTACTACTAATACTAAACTACTACTTTGCTTTAAAGGGCCCCTATAATGCTCATACTCAATTTCATATTTGTATTGAGTGCCTCTACTGTGATGTGATTACATGCTTTAATGTTCAAAAAGCTCTTTATTTTACTGCCTGTGCTGCAGCACCTCTTTTCACCCTCTGTCTGAAACCAGAGTCCAGTCTGCTCTGATTGGTTAGCTGGCCGGCTCTGTTGTGATTGGCCAACTGCTTAGAGGGGTGTCAGAAATGTCCCGCCCCTTGGCCTATCACGTACAATGTGTTGGAGCACTAGCCAATATAAGCACGAGTGTTACGTAGTGATGTCATGGATGGTCAATGGAGGCGTTTCAGGCAGGTGTGGGAGAGAAACTCCCTCTGTCTTGAACTTTGGGATTTTAGCCTTTGCTGACCATTCAAATGCACAAAAAGCTATATAACATACTACATGAAAGGGAAAACCCCAAAATTAGGGCCTCTTTAAAGTGGACCTATCATGCTATATTTTAATAATATAGTATAGGACCATACCTATATAAGGCATATTTATACTTTTTTTTTTTCAAAATACCAAACAGATCATGCATTTTAGCCATGCCTCATTTTGCTCAATTTGAAATTCTTTAGGTCTGTTTTTGCAAGGGTTGATTCAGTGAGAACAGCACCATCTACAGGCCTGGCATATGTACTACAGCATCTCCAGCTCTTTCGAACAGCAATGGCCGTGGCTGTCTCCTCCTGATTGGTGGAGTTGGCCCAATAGCCGTAGCGCCACCGTCCTGACGTCAGGACAGTGTTCAAATCTGGATCAGTTTTTATCAGATCCGTTGCAGCCCCTTTTTTAGAGATTTGGGTATGGAGGAAAATAGAGAGGGTTGTGTTTTCTGACACTTGGTGAGTTCCCTGGAACACCGGGGACACATATTCATGTAGAAAAGACGTACAAAAGTGCATTTTGCATGATAGGTCCCCTTTAAAGTCCATCAGTAATATAGTTCAGACAGTTTTGGTTCAATACAAACTCAAGGCTGCATAAAATACAGTAAATGTGACTTTATTAGAACGTAACAGTGAATATATACAGTGTTATTGCAAATATGACAGAGTGAAATGTTAATAACCAGAAGCACCTGCAGTGTACAGTAATAGCTCAAAGTCAATTTAGCGTACAAAAATCCTGCTTTTATTTTATTTGACAATATTAAATTATTTAATTAATTTATATACAATAACAAAGAACACAGCCTACATAAAAACACCGCCCTTGTTTGTACAATTGCCTGCAAATGTGTTGTAACGTCAGTTTGATATTACTGACCTAAACTCTTTTCACTATATCCCAGCAATTACAGAATGCAAACTATACACATTCATCACGCTATATAGTAGGCATTAAATATTCATGAACATTTGTTTCATATCGTTAGGTTCTATCACAGAGTTACACCTTGAAGTGGGTAAGGGCTCTGTGTAAATATCCCTACGTCTTGCAGCTGTATACTTGATCGGAGGAGGAGGCGGTTTGAACGGAGGCGGTAGATCCATCCTAGAGAGAGAGAGAGAGAGAGAGAGAGAGAGAGAGAGAGAGAGAGAGAGAGAGAGAGAGAGAGAGAGAGAGAGAGAGAGAGAGGGATAGAATGGATTTGAGCAGAGATAGACGCGAATAAGGAGACGACGAGAGACGAGCCGAGAGCACGATGGTAGCTGCAAGAGGATGGGAGATGCAGAGAGAGAGAAGATGAATTGAGGTACTGTGCAATAAAGATGTAGCGTATCTAAAAAGCATGCAGATATGATGGATAAAGTGTGCATGTACTGTAAGAGAGAGATCAGTTGTACTCGGTCACAGGTGCAAACGATGGTTGCATGGATAGATAATGAAAGTTTTACCTTTCCCTTTTAATTTTTCTCCTGTAGAGAAAGCCAGCCAAAACGATCAGTAGTAGGATTGGAAACAATGATTAGCGCCAACAACACATCACTCTGTACACCTCCAAAAATCTGAGAAGAAGCAGTGAAAAAGTGTCATTAAGGACAACAGCAACATTTAGTATCAATATATTGATAATAGATGTCCAGCATAAAAAAAAATTGTGCCTTAGGCAGAAAAGTGTGTTTTGCTGTCCTCCCCCTGAGCTGTCCGCAATAAGAAGTTGTCTCTCCTTTTTAATGACATTTCTACCCTGTGAGGGCATCTGGCCCTAGGCAGAGAAAACTGGTATCTGCAGAGCCTCAGCATGTGATAAGAATTCAGACGCTGAAGGCAAAGAAACTGCAGAAGTTCTTCATAGGAAGGTTTATAAGTAGGTCTTGCCTATCGAGCATTCAGGTCTTTGGTCTGTATTCATTTGCTGCTTTTAAACCATTTCTACTTTTAACTTTCCAACACTGCTGCAGCTCACTTCACTTATTGCCACAGACAAAGATAACCACACTGCACGCAGACCCCAAAGAGACTAATGTGCCACACAGTCTTAGAGCACTACTTAAAGCCTATTTCAGGGAAACAAAGGGCTGTTGATAATTCTCAGTCCCAGACAAAAACTGCATGTTTTGCATTATCAATTATTTAATTTAATTTGTATTTGTATTTAAACTGTATTTGTTGTATGGTAGATAAAGAGCACATGGTTTTCCTTGAAATGTTCATTTTAAATTAGAGAAAATGACTATTTTCCAAAATCAATAAACTGTGATACACAAAGTGATTATTACCTCCATCCTCAATGACTACCGTTGTATTTCCAGTGCTCGGCGTTGGCGTGGAAACAGGATTGCCTCCCATGGACTCATTCTTTGTCTCCTGTGTTGATCTGAACACCTTATTACCATTACTTAAAGTTGTAGTTGGATTGCTGGGCACTGATTGGTCAGAAAAAGTGGATGTGTTTGGATTGTGAGTGCCGTTAATCTCCTGATCAGTGGAGCTGTTAAAGTGATAGCTGTCAGTGTGTGTGACAGGGGATGACGTGACACTGATATGTGTATCATCTGTTAAATGGGTCATATGCGCTCCATCTGTGACATTTCTAGAGTTGGGATCATCATCTGTTACATTAGTGCTCATATTCATGGTCCAAGTCACGTTGCCATCAATATTTGGCCTCCCAGTGGTCAGTGATGTGGGGAGGCCGCTGTCTGCTGATGTGATCAAACCCTCCTCGGTCACATTGGACTGTGGTGGAGCTGTCATGAGATCTGAAAGTAGCAAAACACCACGGTAGAAATGCTGTCGGCAAAAATGTCCTCTACTATTTTGATGTTGTCACTGCATCTAATAACATTCTTTCTTTGGACCTGCACAGCTCTCACTTGTGAGAAAAGAAATACCTGACATGGGAAACTGGATTAACAGACCCATCTTTTACATTAAGTTCCTGTTAGCGTCATGGTTTAATATGTTTGGAAATATGCTTAGTTGTTCTCTTGCGAAGGTTTAAACAAAGAAATATAAGACACTCCAATCTGTATGGTGAGACTTTGTTTTTCGTACCTATTTTGTACCTAAATTGGGTTGAAACTATAAGTATTGTAGTTAATCCCTATCGAAATACGCAGTCATTTAATACATAATTAAAATGGACCCACATGGCATTTATGAGCTCTGTGCGTAATCATTGGGTAAAATAAGGTGAAAAGGTCATTAAAAAACCTGGAGCCTGAAGCCAGGGGCACAGACGGTGTGCACATTGCAAATCCAACAGTATGGTATGGATTATACACATATACTTAACTAATGATGAGTACATTTAGTCAGTATTCTCAGTATTATTCCAAACCGTCACCGGGCTGTACTACTCAAATGTGTCCAACAGATTGTGCTCTCACCCCATGTCGCGGTGTATAGACTCTGTTGTGA